TTAAATGCATCCGGGGCTTGCCTTCGTTGACGGAAAAGTCTGGTTCCGGAGTCGTTCCACCGATATCAAATCCAACCTCCACAGACGGATCAACCTCCTCAACTACTTGATTAACTACCACATGCTCACCTTCGTTGACTACACGTAGTACAATGCCATGTTTAACATGATGCGAGATATGAGACATGATACTTGACAATGGATGCAAAAGCAATAACTTGAATACAACTTTCCTTCGCGGTACAGTTACAAGTCAAACTAACTAAACCTTTCCATAATACTAACATCAATTGCCAAAGATCATTACCAACTAATGACCCAAGGACATCACTCAATCAAAAATTCAATCAAAACCTAAATCATTAAAGGTTACTATTTGCTTTTATGAATTAATTATCTAATTAAGAATTATGAAATAAATCAACTTGTTCCAATTGACCTCAAAATTTTTTTAAATGTTCATCACATGATAACCAAGTGGCAAAACAATTTTCATAATTTTTGGATAAATAAATAAGCCTAGAAAAATCATGGAAACTCGTTTATTAATTAATTGAGCAATTTTTATCACATTCTAAAAGTACTGAAAAACAACATTTCATATTTTTCCTCAATAATATATATCACAGAGACGTCACACAAAAAATTTTATAATTTTTTGGAGGTCTAAATAAATCTACACAAAATAAGAAAAACAAACACTATTCATTCATTTATGAAAATAGAAAAATTCCATTTTGAACTACACAGTCACTAACACCCGACCCCACATGTCATCTTCAACCTTTGGCTTTGACCACGACGGCGACGGCGCTGATCGATGATATCTCGCCGACGGCGAGACCAACGGCGACGGCCAAGGTACCAAAACGTTCACATCACCACGGCGCATCGATTGGAGACACTAGCTAACTCAGTTACTACATGATTCAAGCCTGTCGCCGGCCATGGCGGACGCGACTGCACGGCGGTGCTATGCCGGCGACAGGAGACTAGTAGCGGTTAAACAAAGGGTCCAGGAAGCACCAGTAGCTCACCCCGAATGCGTTGGAGCAAAGAGCGAGACCGAAGAAGCAATGGCGACGCGGGTCGACGATCACACGATCACGACGGCGCTAGCAACGACGACGGTGATGCTCCAGTGGCTACGGTGGACAAAAGGGTCAAACAACCGATCACACAGGACCATGGCAACATGACGAAGCTAACGGCATGCCAAGCACAAGCAGAGACAGACCGTGGAGCTCTGGCCATGGCAAAGCGCGCTCGGCGGAGATGCTGCCGGCCGCGAGGAAGAAAGGCTGCTAGCGGCGGTTCCCAGCGGAATCAGGCGACCAAGGTTGGTCAGCTGGGTGCACAAGGAATAGGCGAAGCTATTGAGCGCTTTGCTGCGATGGCACAGGCGCTGGTTCGACGACGAGGGCTCAACGGAGCAGTGGTGGCGACGTTGGGAAAACAGAGGAAGAGAGCGACGAAAAACGGCGACGGCGCAGGCCTTATAACGCGGCCAGGAAGCAAAGAGAAGCCACGCAGGGCCTTTACCGCGCTAGCGCGAAGCCAAGGACGGCCACGGCGATGACCAGAACGGATTAGAAGCTTGCCGGCGAGGAGGTGTCTTCCACGGGCACTGTTCACCGAATTTACAGAATTGCCATTCATCTAAATTTCCAAATTACTCCCAAATTTGTGTAACAACTAAAAAATATCCAAAAACAAAAGTTGTTCAAAATTCAAAGTTCTACAACTTTTCTTTTATAACCATACCCAAATTTGGCCTACATTGTGAAATGCAAATTTGAATTCAAAAGGGGACACTACATTTCGCCTTTTCAAATTACTTCAAATTTTTCTAAACAACTTTGAAAACTCCAAAAACAAACTTTGTACAACTCAACAAGCTCTACATTTATGATTTAAGGCTCAACCCCAAAATGTACTTTGATTTTGAAATGGGTTTTTTGGGTCAAAACTAATCGCTGGAAATCAGGGTTTTTGAAACTTCAAATCCATACCAAACTTTGAACTCAATTCAAACCATACAAGGCAACACTCATAACATAAATGTGAACTTGTTTTATTGAATGCATATCAAAGTTTGCAATATGACCAATGCCTTGCAATGCATATGATGACATGTCCTGTTTTAGTATTTAAAACACCCGTGGGGTTACACTAGGGGCAACTGCATCGAACATCACCGTGGTTTCAAAATCATAGGGGTGAGCCCTATGAGGGAAGGATGAACCCCACACAGTGGCTACAGGCTTACGCCACTGCTGTCCGTGCCGCCGGAGGAGACACCAGTGTCATGGCGAACTATCTTCCCATCATGCTAACGCCAACCGCCATGAACTGGTTCACAAGCCTCGCCTCAGATTCCATCGGATCCTAGGGAAGGGTGAAGAAGGTCTTCACCGACAATTACATGGCTACGTGCACTCGGCCGGGCACCAAGCATGATCTAAACCGCATCTAGTAGAAGCCGTTCGAGCTCCTCCGTAGCTACATCAGACGCTTTTTCGAGATGAGGAATTCTATTCCTAATATCACAGAAGCTGAGGTCATCACCACCTTCGTCCGAGGACTCCATCACTACGATCTCCGCTCCAAGTTCAACCGCAAGCCACCCATAGGGATTGGTGAGATGATTACAACCGCCAACCAGTACGCCGACACCGAGGAAGCTGAGGTGTGCTTCAATGAGGATGCGGGCATTCATCGCCCAGCTCACCGTAGTGACGATTGCCCCAATGACCGGCGCCATAGCGACCGCCGCTACGACAACCGCAGTCACCATCGAGACAGTGGCCGTGATCGGCTAGAAGGCTCCAAGTCTGGTCAATATCACCGCCGCCGACCAGACCATATCATCGCCGCTGTGGACAAGCCTCGAGCCAAGAGAAACTATGATGAGAAGTGCAAGAAGATCCTCGATGGCCCATGCCCCTCCACAAGAATGCCAAGCATAAGATGAAGGATTGCCTCGGCTTAGCTAAGGAATTCCAGGCCAAAAAACCAGATGATGACAACAACGACGATGCTGGAGGCCGCCGACCACCTAGGGGCAATAACAATGCCTTCCAGGATCATGACAAGGTGGTCGCGACCATCTTCAGGGGCCTCGCCTCCACCAAGAGCAGAAGAGAACGGAAGCTCGCCGCTCGCCGGGTGCTCGCCATCACTATAGAAGACGCCTCCACCAACCCCAGCTATTGCCCTTGGTTTGAGGTCCCCATCACCTTCAGTAGGGCCGACTAGTGGGCAGACATCCCCTATCTAGGGCGTTTCCCCCTCGTCCTTGATGCAACAGTCCAGAAAGTGCTTTTCAGAAAAGTGCTTATCGACGGTGGGAGTGCTCTGAACCTCCTCTTCACCGGAGCCCTAAAGGAGCTGGGCCTTGGGATAACAGATCTCACACCCCCTGACTCCTCCTTCTGGGGTGTGGTACCTGGCAGGGCATCCAAACCACTTGGAGAGATCACCCTACCGTATAGTTCAACATGGCAAGCAACTACCGCGTCAAGCACATCAACTTCTACGTCGCCGACTTCAACCCAGCCTACCAAGCCATACTTGGTCGGCCAGCTCTGGCCAAGTTCATGGATGTACCGCACTACGCTTATCTGGTGCTGAAGATGCCTTCGCCTGCTGGAGTCCTAGCCCTGCGGGCCAACCTCTCCATCGCCTATGCCTGTGAGATAGAGAGTCTCGCCCTCGCTAAAGCCACTAACCTCTCCATCCAGATGGACAGTGTGGTCACTGACGCCAAGACGGTGCTCGCTGATGACCTGGAGATCCCATCGCTGAAGCCTCCTTGCGCCTCCGCCAAGTCCAAGGAAACCAAGGAGGTCGGCCTCGGCCTCGATGACCCCTCCAAGACCATGAAGATTGGGGCTCACCTTGACCCCAAATAGGAAAGTGCGCTCGTCTCCTTCCTACGTGCCAACGTCGACGTGTTTGCTTGGAAACATGTAGACATGCCGGGGATACCATTACAAGGTTTTACCCCTGATGCAATGGCCTAAAAGCGTTGCAATATACCAAAAATGGTTGTGAAAGACAAAATTGCAACGAAAAATTTTCGTTGGCAGGCGTTGCCATAGTAACCATGGAGAATGGTTTGCCCAATGACTCTCTTTGGTGTTGCAATAGATTTTTCCCTATTGCAACACCAGAAATACCTATTGACATGAACCCAAAGTGTGGCAATAGGTGCACTAGCAACGATATTTGGTGTTGCAATAGACCTTATTGCCACGCTATCTCGATGGTTGCTATAGGTGGAACCGTCTATTGCCACGATAAATATTTGGTTGCTAGAGGTAGCCTCTCTATTGCAATGATCAATATTGGTTGCTATAGGTGGAACCGTCTATTGCCACGATAAATATTTGGTTGCTAGAGGTAGCCTCTCTATTGCAACACTAAACATTGTGGTTGCTATAGGTGCATCCGTCTATTGCCACGGTAAATGTTTGGTTGCTAGAGGTTGCCTCTCTATTGCAACGATCAATACTGGTTGCTATTGTTGGACCCTCTATTGCCACGCTAACTATTGTGTTGCTATAGTTTGGAGACTCTATTGCAACACCCACTATTCCGTTGATATGATGTTTTTTGCAACACCATTTGTTTGTTGCTATATCATATATTGCAATGCCAAATTATTTTGTCGATAGTCCATATTGCAACGCTTTGTTTCCTTCAAACAATAATTGCATGCCAAACAATATATGATGAAAGAAGCATTTAGACATCCATTAATCCAAAATATGCTTTGTTTGTACAACTCATTAATGAAACCACATCCAATGTCAAACTTAGTTGATAACACATGCACAACAAGTAAAACACATAAGGTATCTGATGCACAGTAGCTACTTTGAACAGTTCAAAATGTAATAAGCTATGTGTAGCACTGTAGCAAAGGTTGGCTTGACATTGACCGTCCATCAGTTGGGTTGGCTTGACATTGACCGTCCATCAGTTGTTCGCTCCACTCAAACTCTATCTTGCTCCTGAAACAATCAATAACATTGGTATATTCAGCAAACAGAAACTTAGTATTCAGCTAAGTATCATTTCACTTTACAGTAACAGGAACTAGCCAACTAAATCTGATTCAGAAATATTCACAGGTAGTGGAGTAAAAAATCACCTGTGCTTTGCCAGCTTGTTGATTCCTTTTGGATAATGCTCGTTTCTTAGCCGCAGCATCCCTCAGTGCTTTAGTAGTAGTAAAACTAACTATCGTATCCCCTCCTTTGTTTTGGCTAGTTTGAGTCTTATTCGCAGCACTATTTCTAGTTGTGCGACCATTACTTGTACCTGCCGCTATTGTAGCTACGAGTTGTGTTTGTGGTGGGATGCTATCTTAGTTTTCCTGCAAATCAATAGATGGAGGGAAAATTATGCCTCATACTAAGGACTATCACATGACAACATTAAACACTCTTCAGTTCTCAAACTACCTGCTGATGTGACATTTCTTCACTTTCTGTATTTACATTTTCTTCATCCATGTTTGTTGTAGCAGCAACCTCTGCATTTTTTCCCCCATCTTTGTTAGCCTGCATTTCAATTTTGGTCAAAAAAATCATGAGTGGAGTTTGAAACTACGAAAATGATGCATGGTTTGTAGCCGACTATTACCTGTTGTATTGATGCTTGTATATGTGTTGCTTGCATCATTGCCATAAACTCTTGCCTAAGAGCTTCTCTATCGGCCTCCCTTGCCTTCATCATTTCTTCCATCTGACGCCTATGTTCTTCCCTTTCGGCTTCCCTTTCAGCCTCTTGAGATTCTAATCTCTCTTGTAGCTTTAAAAATGCTTCGACTAGTGCCGATTCCTGACGCACTTGGTACTGGTAATCCTCAGACAGTAGTTTCCTTCTAGTTGGGTATTTTGCCAAGTATCCATTAGCATAGATCTTGGTTGATTTGCAGTTTCTTGTTTCCTGGTAGGCTGACTGGAAAATCTGATTTTGCTCCACGTCTGAGATGATGAGTGCTTCTCCATCTGTTTCCCTCTCCGAAATTTTGCTGCATGCATTATCCTAACAAAGGAGGACAATTGAAGTAGTTAATTAAAAATGATTTTGTAGGCGGTGACTGTGCATCAGTTAATAAGGTTTGTACAAACTATTATATACTCACATAGACATCCCTAGATTCTTGGCTTGTCCATTCTTACTGTGCGTGATCATGAAAAGCTCCAAATCATTTGGCTCATCACCAGTTATTGGGTCCCTCTAATTAGGCAAGAATGTAACAAATTAGCGATATTTGAAAAGTTAAGGAAGCATGGTCATGTGCTTCTAAAGTTATTACCTTCTCAAAGCTACATTGAGAAAAAGTCTTTGATCCTGCTCGATGGTGTACCTTTACATTCTGCCGATTCCGAGAATTCTTGCAACTAACCCTCTGCACAAGGAGTTGATTATAAAAAAATATTGCAATGTACCGAAACATAGCCTTTATTTCATCAAGTGCAAATGGCAAGAATAAAGTAAAGGTCATCAAACCTGAAAATTTGTCTTGCCAAAATACAAAACCAGATAGTGCCATTCAACAATGTCCAACTCTTCTGGCTTATGTCTCATTCTCTCCTCATAGGTGGTGTACGCCCTGTACATAGCACTAAATGTTGTTCGCCATCCTTTGTAACGCTCATTAGCGATGGTCCATATCTTTTTCCTATTTTCTTTGTTATTCTCAATGTCCCACTTATGCTGTTCAACAAATAAAACATAAATTCTAGGTCACTTCTTAAATAATTTGGTAACAAAACTGTGTATGCTAGCAAAAACAAATCAGAAACTTACCATCATATCAGATACTATTGAATTTTTGACATCTTGGTGGATATCCTTCCATGTTCTCACCCCAATGAGTGGTGCTTTTTTCCTTGTGTACACTACTATTTCATCAGTAAATGTGCGTGCGTTCTCACCTACAGCTCCTCCAAGTCTAGAGAATTAGACTTTATGCTTCTAACTGCCCTACTTGGATCTCTTGTGGCTGGCTGCCAATCCTTTCATAGTACCTCGTGCCTTCCTCTTTTGGAAGTCTTGTCCATCGAAACAATATACAGTGCAAGAGATTAAACAAAATCATTTACATAGGGAAAACTGAACTAAACATCAAAATAAAATCACAATAAGCATCACTTACTATCTCCCTGTGTTTTCTCACGCCGAGCATGTGATGGCTGGTTCAGAGGTGGTGTTGGATTGCTATCTTGACTTGAATTTAGTAAATCTATCTGATTTGTAGGGTTGTCATATGCACCTGCAGACAATAGGTCACAAGTGTAAACTATAAATGTATTGCGAAGGACTAATAATAAGTTGGTTGACATTTTGGGAAAAGAAGGTATATATTACTAATTTGATCTAGTTGTCCTTGCACCCTTAACCATTCTTTGTAAGTCTTGACTGTGTCATCCCTGTATATATCCTCAAAATATGTGAAAGCCATGCTGCTATTAGTGATTTGGCCATTGCAGTATAATATAATATAACAATTAATAATAGGGCAGCAACATAACTTACCCATGCCTTGGCCCTGTCTATGCATATTATTAAGCCACACCTTGTAATCATCAAGTGACTCATCTATGGAATGTTCACTATTTGATGCCACAGTTCTTGGCAATTTAATGGGTGTTATGTCCACAGTTCGCTCTGTTATTTGATCCCTTAACAATACTAATTTGACCTCCCTCTCCTCTGCATTACTTGATATCATTGCATTTGCATCGACATCATATTCGATCTCGTTTAGTGTTGCTACAGAGTTACCACTTCTCCTCTTATAGTACAAGTAGTCCCTGGAACCATACCCCAAATTTGATTTCATTGTTATTAAGTTACCAAACATGAGCTCGTCCCTGGCTATTGTATACTGAGCAAATTGTTGTCCCCCTGGTGCCCCCTTGCAAGTGAAAGAAACAGTCCATGTTTGTTCTGAGCTGTCATAGAATGTAATGAGAAACATAAGCACACCCTAAACAATATTTAAAGAAGGAACAACTTGAGAATGGCAAACAATAATGTGCCCTTCATATTATTGAAGCATCTCACTACCATTTATTGAAGGATCTCACTATTATTGAAGTAATTTGTCAAATTCTAAATCATTGCAGTAGCATCCAGACAGACATTGTGCCGTTACCTGTCGTCGTCCTGAGTGGAACGCCGGAGGTTTTCTTGTGATTGGCTGCCATCACCTCCATCTTCATCGGCAGGAGGTGTCGCTGTCCTAGACGAAGGTGTTTGAAAAAGCGACATCGTCGCCCTGGGTCTGGACAATGAAGCAGGTGTTGGCGTGTTGAACGCAGGTGATGTCGATTGAGTCTCCATTGATGCAATCTGCAGTCCAGCTACATTGAACAAGTTAACTACATAGACACACAGGTACATGCATTACTCTTTCGTAAGTGAAAAGTGAATAGATCAATGGCCCTAGGGTTGCCGTAACTCTGACGAAGAGGAAGTCTGGGAGTCCTTGAGGCTTGAGCACCGGCGGTGGGGAGGCACATCGCGGTGGCCTCCTGGTGCGGGCTGTCCTGCACCGGCGCCCCTCTAATGACGACGCGATGGTGAAGACAAGCGGCGGCGGCGGGTGTAGATCAGGAACCGAGTTGGAGGAGGGAAAGGAAAGAATTGGAGGAGATGGGGAGGATAATGAGGAAGTGGGGAGGTTAAGATTCGTTTTGTTCGCATAATGGGCGGGGTATTAGGCAGTAAATGGCTGCATGCAGGCGCCAAGCCAATTTTCGGCAAAAAATACTAAAAAATAAGTGAAAAAAGGGTGGAGAACAAGGATCGAACCTGGAACATCGATTTATATCACTGTTGCAGACACCATTGAGTTACTGGTTGTTTTGTTTCACTTCTTGCTTGTCAATATTATTATACATAGTTTTGGGCCGGTGTGCCACTGACATGAGGGACCCACTTGTCAGCGCCGGGTTCATATGCTGTTCTAGTTCGGTTCATGGTGTTCATCTTTTTTATTTTGATTCATTGTAAAAACGTTAAACGTGTTTAGATTTCACATTTGTTGTCCAAATTAGGTGATTCTTTTTTCCAATTTCTTGGAAAACTTTTTCCTTTCACGTGGTTTTATTTGCATTGTGTTACTTGACCCCTTGTATTAACATTTTGTCATTTTCTTTACTATTTACATACTCTACAATGAATAGACCTTTTTTGAATGTGTCCAAGGTACCACGGGCTTATGAATAGGCAAGTTGGAATCTTGTTTGATCAAATGTGTATCATATAGGTGTATCATATATATGGCATATCATATAGGTGTATCATGTTCAATGTCACCTTCTTTGCCTTGCGGTGATTTCATGTGGGAGCTAAGACAATGTTTCAATGCAAATTGGTAATCGATCTCCTCAAGGACATGATTTATCGCACAAACCATCATTTTGCAACCTGACATCTTTACCTAGGTTTGGGTTCGTGACACCAAGATACACTTATCTTTGTATTTGTATTTGTGATAAACCAAGTTAGTGATATACACTTACCTTTGTATTTGTGATAGCATCCACTCATGCACATTGTGTTAGGACTTAAGAAAATATATATTGGAATTGTATAAACCTAAATTGGAAAAAAATTAGGACTAAAAAACTTGTAAATTAAAAATAAAGGAATATAAATTGAAAGAAAATGCAAAAAAAATGTGTTGCATCCTTGAATCGAACCGAAGCCTACAAGTTCTAGAGCAGCGGACAAATCATTGAGCTATCACCTATTTTCGGTAAGTTTGAAGGAATTTATTCCTTTGAGTGATTATCTGTCCCTGCTTTGCGCGTAGGCCCTTCAACTCCCCAGCCATGCTGGTCGCGCGGTTCCCATGAAGAGCCACCATTTTACCCGGTCCTTCGACTGGCCGTGAGGAGGAGGAGGAGCGCCGCCGCCAGGAGGAGGAGACCGAGCGGCGTCTCGCGATGGACGTGGAACGGCGCTGGCGCAGGGCTGAGCGAAAGAAGCGCGAAGAGGAGCACTGGCAGCAGGGGGACGACGCATGCGGCAGCACCAGCAGTAATTAGTAACACTAGTGATTAATCTATGTCTTAGGTCGATGTAATAATTTATTGGTGCTGAAAAACCGTGTCGTCGAATCCTTTGTTTGATCATCGTCACCTTGGGTTGATACTTGCATTGTATGACCTTGTTTTATTTGCTTACATATTCCATGTTGCATTGTATGACCTCGTTTTGCTTACATCGTCCCTTGGATTGGTACTGTATGTGGCGATGCATCTTGGTCGTTGTCACGAAGACCATAGTATATGATATGCTACGTACGAAAGCATGCGAAAGCTATCATCATAATTAAGACTGATCTGTCATGTCCACCATCTACCGTCTCGGGGCGTGTCATGTTTTGCTGCATCACCGTGTAATGTCAGTTGTAGTCAACAGAGTTTTTGAGTACTAGGCCTGCATCGTGGTGTAATGTCAGTCGTAGTCGTGCTGCAGGCCTGCCTTATGCTGCAGCTTGCGTGCAGATACTGGTGCTGAATCCTCAAGGACAAACTGGTGCACTGGTGCACCAGGCAGAGAGTCATCTTCCAGTTGCCGCTGGGCCTGGACAAAGCAAGGCGTGTTTGTTCAGAACTTTAAGTGTGCATAATGCATAATGTTTGCACTATTTGAAGCATTCAGTGGCCACTCGTGAGACAGCAAACCAAAATTGCTCAGCATCGATAATTCGTGTTTTCTCAATTGCATTATAGTTAAATAAATTGCTTTAAGTGATATAGACATAAGCGATTACATCATTTTCTTTTTACAAAACACATACACAACGTATGCCTATGAATGCATGTACACATACACCATGCTAACTGTACCCCTTTGAATGCCTATGAGATTGGGAGAGAATCAAAATTCCGTCATGATATCAAAATCACTATTCATCTGAAATATCGCTCTCTTCACCGAAATACCTGCCAAGCACCTTCCGATGGGTGCGGTTAATACTTTTGTTTCATATTTGCAAGGCCGCGCATTATTATCGGACGGGACATGATTGAAAATTGAAATGAACAGCAGCGGTACGGGACGGGATGTTGGGAAGTTATTGCAGGGCCTGTTCCCGCGGTCGCCTGCCATACCCGAGAAAAGGCGGCGCCGCCTGATCTCCCCTTCTCCTCGTCTCCTCCGCTTGTTCTTCGGCAGTTCCCAAGGCACCGGCAGCGGGGAATATCTATAACTCCTCCTGTACCCTGCCCCCTCTCCGCAGTCTCCTTGCCATATCAAAAAAGGGCTTTTCAAGAACTCGGCCTGTAGCCCGCCATCGCCCCCTGCCATATCGCGAGGAGGCCGCATACCTCGTCACCAAAGTTACATGGCGCGGTCATGGTGATCTGCTTCCGCCGGCACCAGTTCATGGCGACTTCCCGTGCGTTGGAGGCGCCTGTGGAAAGGTTACGGGCTAGGAACAAGTTAGCCTATTTTGCAGCGAGGACTGCAGGATACGCCATGAAATTGTGGCGTTCTAAAGGAGACTAGGGATCGAAAACTAATTCTCTCTGTGTATGCAAGCTGTGAATTAGCGTAGCTGTTGCGTTTCTTTTGCTTTTGCCTGATGATGTCCATGGCTGGTTGGCTCAACTTGTAGTGCTGGAACTATGTTTGTGGTTAATGAAGATCGATCTCCTATTGAACGTGTTACTAGCATGTGCATTCCACTTGTTCATGGTGATATTTTTTTTAACGCCTGTTGCCAACTAAAATTTACCCAAAAAAAAATTAGGCTTCGGATCACAAATTCTCGTACATAGCGCGCCTGTGCCAGAGGGGCCAGCCACGAGAGCAACATGGGCCCTGCAAGCAGCATAGCCCATGGACAGGTGCGATTGCCTATGAGAAGGATTGTGTGTTATTTTGGAAGGAAAACGCAAATCTGGATACATGTCCCAAATGTGGCGAGTCTAGGTGGAAAACGACCGATGACGGTGCTCACAAGGACGTTGTGGATGGTGATGCTGATACAACAAACAAGAAGCATGTCCCACGTAAAATCCTACGGTACTTTCCTCTTACTCCTCGGCTACAAAGATTATATATGACAGAGAGCACATCATCACAAATGCGATGGCATAAGGAAGAATTGGTCGATGATGGCAAAATGTGTCACCCTGCTGACTCGAAGGCATGGAAGCATGTGGATAACAAGTATGGTTGGTTTGCAAAGGAAGCTCTTAATATTAGGCTGGGTCTTGCTTCTGATGGCTTCAACCCCTTTGGCATGCAAAATGTTACATACACCACATGGCCTGTTATCCTCATCCCTTACAATTTGCCTCCTTGGTTGTTTGAGAAACAACCTTATTGGATTATGTCGATGTTGATTCCTAGTCCAAAATCTCCTGGAATGAATATTGATGTATATTTGAGGCCCCTCATTGATGAGCTGAAGGATCTTTGGGAAAAGGGAATTGATACATGGGATGACAAGGTAAAGAAGAATTTTAAACTACATGCTATTCTGCTTTGGACAATTAATGACTTTCCTGCATATGCGATGCTTTCTGGTTGGAGCATAAAAGGCAAATTTGCATGTCCATACTGCCACAAGGATACAGATTATTTGTGGTTGAGATTTGGAAAAAAGCACTGCTACATGGGACATCATCGTTTTTTGCCGTCGGACCATCCTTGGCGCATGAACAAGATGAGCTTCAACAATGAGGTGGAAACTAGGGAGGCTCCAGTACCACTATCTGGTCAACAGGTATTGGACCAGTATGAAACTTTTGATCAAGTGATATTCAGAAAGGCGACATCAAAAAAGAGGAAGCGTGACGAAGATAAAAGATGGCACAATTGGAGGAAGAAGAGTATTTTTTTGAGCTCCCTTACTGGTCTTCTTTGCTCATAAAGCATAATTTGGACGTGATGCACATTGAGAAAAACATATGCGAGAGCATATTGGGTACTTTGCTTGAAATTAAAGGTAAATGTAAGGACAATGAGAAGACCCGACTTGACATGGAACAGCTAGGGATAAGGCAAGATCATCACCCTGTCATTGACAATGATAATTATACCTTGCCACCAGCCTTGTACTTTTTAGATAAGGCTGACAAGAAAAGTTTATGCCAATTTCTACATGGAGCGAAGATGCCTGATGGGTTTAGCTCCAATATAAGGAGATGTGTTGACGCAAATACATGTAAGGTGTCTGGACTGAAAACACATGACTACCATATTATTCTACAGAAATTGTTACCCTTAGTCGTCAGAAAGATTTTGTC